AAGCTTAGCAAAGCACAGGGACCGCGGTTCAATCCCCCAGCACCACATGTCAGCCCACCCGCCCCCTGGTGGGCTGAGCTGTACACACACACACACACACACACACACACACACACACACACACAAATAAATAAATAAATAAATAGTAAATGTCTTAACAGTCTGCTACATGAAAATGCAACGCAGCACTTAAAAGCACCAGGAAAACAAGAGGCGCCCTCCTGGGGGTAGAAGTGGCCAGGCCCATGCGGCCTCTTTGTTAGCATCTGTATTGAAGACGCGCAGTGAAATGACTTTTAAAGTCAGGAAAATTGGGGCCGGGGAGGATAGCTCAGTGGCTTAAGTGCCTGCCCGGGAAGCACAAGGTCCTGAGTTCAATCCCTGGTACCTAAAATAAAATAAAGTCAAGAAAATTAACATAGCCTATTTGTGTGTGTGTGCACATTGTATGTGTATTTGTGCATGTGAATGCGTGTGCGCATGATGCGAAAATACCTAGAGCTGGTCATTAGGAAATGATCAGCATACAATATCCAGTGGGGTGGGGGTAGAGGGAATCAAACTCCGGACCAAGCAGGCAGATGCTGCACCACTGAGCTAAATCCTGGTCTCTCCACACTAGCGCAGCTATTAACCGCAGTCTGCAGGCTGCACACTGGGTCTCTCCTCAAACGCCCCAGTGCACTCTGGGACCCTGGACCACCTTTCCCTACTTCCCCTGCACATCCCTGACAACCATGCCTCTCTACTCTCTTTCTGTGCATTCCAACATTCTTAGGGATTTCTTCCTAGATTCTGCATGCAAGTGAGATCGTGCGGAATCTCGCTCAGTGTGCCTGGCTCATCTCAGCCTGTTCTGAGCAATGTCCCAGCCCTGAGGACTGGATTCTGTCCCCCAGTGCCAAGCACCTCCCTTCTACTCCCCACGTGCCCTGCTGCCCTGGGCTTACCTTCTTCATCTCCTTGAGGCTGAGTCTCCAGCGCCGGGGCCACGGCATCATCTGAATTCAGAACGGAAAAGATTTGCAAGGAGACTACAATTATGAGAGTAAGCTAAGTAAGTGTGCAGACAGGACGGAGTGCAGGCCCCATACCCAGTCCCAACATCTGACCCCACAACAATCCCACATGCAAACCCCAGCACCAAGGCAGCACTGGCCCAAAATACAGTGGGGAGCCTCGCTCTCGGAAGGAAGCTCCGAGTCAGCAAAGTCACGCGTTCAGGACACTAGGTATGTAAGAGAGAGATGGGCAGGGCCAGTGGGCAGCTAAGGCCAGTCCTTTGTGTGCCCATTTCCTAAGTAGAAAGACAGCACCAGGGCTCAGGTGCTGGACAACCGTCTGTGCCCTGCTCAGGCCTCCCCTACTGCTGTGGCAGGGCACGGGGCATGGGGAGAGGGCATCAGATGGGTAACACTCCTGGGCAGCTGAGGCATGGGGGGCCTGGAAGGCTGCATCTCCAAAGGGCAACCAGGATTTAATTAACTGAAGACAGTGCTCCAGGTCCCCTGGCCGAGGGCAGAGTCGAGAGCCCCAGGCCTGCCAGAGGGCAGCCGGAGCCGCGCTTTCTATGCAGTCAGCCCTGTGCCAGCAGCACTGACCAGGAGCCAGGGCCCTGCAGCGCCCTCTGTGCCCTCGCCCCGGCTGTGCCCCGC